TGTATGTCCCTCAACATCCCGTCATTCAGGGTGATGTGACACTGTATGTCCCTCAACATCCCGTCATTCAGGGTAATGTGACACTGTATGTCCCTCAACATCCCGTCATTCAGGGTAATGTGACACTGTATGTCCCTCAACATCCCGTCATTCAGGGTAATGTGACACTGTATGTCCCTCAACATCCCGTCATTCAGGATGATGTGACACTGTATGTCCCTCAACATCCCGTCATTCAGGGTGATGTGACACTGTATGTCCCTCAACATCCCGTCATTCAGGACGATGTGACACTGTATGTCCCTCAACATCCTGTCATTCAGGACGATGTGACACTGTATGTCCCTCAACATCCCGTCATTCAGGGTAATGTGACACTGTATGTCCCTCGACATCCCGTCATTCAGGGTGATGTGACACTGTATGTCCCTCAACATCCCGTCATTCAGGGTAATGTGACACTGTATGTCCCTCAACATCCCGTCATTCAGGGTGATGTGACACTGTATGTCCCTCAACATCCCGTCATTCAGGGTAATGTGACACTGTATGTCCCTCAACATCCCGTCATTCAGGGTAATGTGACACTGTATGTCCCTCAACATCCCGTCATTCAGGGTAATGTGACACTGTATGTCCCTCAACATCCCGTCATTCAGGATGATGTGACACTGTATGTACCTCAACATCCCGTCATTCAGGGTGATGTGACACTGTATGTCCCTCAACATCCCGTCATTCAGGGTGATGTGACACTGTATGTCCCTCTACACCCTGTCATTCAGGACGATGTGACACTGTACGTCCCTCAACATCCCGTCATTCAGGGTAATGTGACACTGTACGTCCCTCTACATCCTGTCATTCAGGACGATGTGACACTGTACGTCCCTCAACATTACGTCATTCAGGGTAATGTGACACTGTACATCCCTCGACATCCCGTCATTCAGGGTAATGTAACACTGTACGTCCTTCAACATCCTGTCATTCAGGGTATTGTGACACTGTACGTCCCTCAACATCCTGTCATTCAGGGTATTGTGACACTGTACGTCCCTCACCATCCTGTCATTCAGGGTATTGTGACACTGTACGTCCCTCACCATCCTGTCATTCAGGGTATTGTGACACTGTATGTCCCTCAACATCCCGTCATTCAGGGTCTTGTGACACTGTACGTCCCTTAACATCCTGTCATTCAGGGTAATGTAACACTGTGCATCCCTCGACATCCCGTCATTCAGGACGATGTGACACTGTACGTCCCTCTACATCCTGTCATTCAGGGTAATGTAACACTGTGCATCCCTCGACATCCCGTCATTCAGGGTATTGTGACACTGTATGTCCCTCAACATCCTGTCATTCAGGGTAATGTAACACTGTGCATCCCTCGACATCCCGTCATTCAGGGTATCGTGACACTGTACGTCCCTTAACATCCTGTCATTCAGGGTATTGTGACACTCTACGTCCTTCAACATCCCGTCATTCGGGGTATTGTGACACTGTACGTCCCTCTACACCCTGTCATTCAGGGTAATGTGACACTGTACGTCCCTCTACACCCCGTCATTCAGGGTATTCTGACACTGTAAGTCCTTCAACATCCCGTCATTCAGGGTAATGTGACACTGTACGTCCCTCAACATCCTGTCATTCAGGGTAATGTGACACTGTACGTCCCTCAACATCCCGTCATTCAGGGTATTGTGTATTCCAAAGTCCTTTTATACGGGTACTTTAACATAAATGTGCACAACTATTTCGGGTACAATATTGCAAGATGAACAGCGGCTGGAATCAACATCCGGTTTTGTATAGGAAGTTTTTTTGTTGTAAGGATATTATGAATAGGTTTGAGTTAACGCCGCTTTGAACATTTTTCCAATTATATCAAGGCGTGTCAGCTTCATCGATTTGCCAAATAAACATTCTCCAACTCTTTATCTTCATGTTTGTGAAAAACATTTTCCCTTAATTATGTGTGTTCTTGTAAATTTGGATCTAAGTCTAATAAAATATGTTTCTACCTTTTATGTGTTTTTCTACGAAAACCTAATGGTGCAACTTTGGCATTATTTTATATTTTTTATCCAAATATATCGTCATTTCACTTAATTTCTCGAAATTTCGATTATTTTCTCGCTGCTTCGATTTTGTTCTCGTTACTTCGATTATATTTTCGCAATTTCTATTATTTTCTCGTTATTTCAAGTTCATTTAAAAAACTCGAAAAATCAGTTTTTGTTCTCGTTATTTCAATTATTTTTCTCGAAATTACGAGGGTTTTTTTCGTTGCTCCATTATTTTGTCATTATTTCAATTATTTTCTCGTCATTTCAAGTTTATTTAAAAAACTCGAAATTTCGGTTTTCATTCTCGATATTTTAATTATTTTCTCGAAATTTCGAGTTTTTTAAATAAACTATAAAAAAAAGAGAAAATAATAGAAGTAATGAGAAAAAACTCGTAATTTCGAGAATATAACTGAAATAACGAGAGAGAAAAAATCTAAATACGAGTTTTGGGGGGTCTTCCTACTCGTCTTGTGCCCATAGGTGTTTGGTGAGACAACATAAGAGATTAAAGGGGAGGAAGTGGTGACTCTCACATATGAAACAATTACTTGGCAAATTATATTCAAATAAACTGTACTGTGTGCAAACGTATAAAATACATATAGCAGTGAGTCGGTGAAGATAGTCATATGATTTGGATTATAAAAGGAATTACCAACAGGAAACAGTATTCAACTGCGGCAACTGAACAGATTGTTCTTGAGGTTATTCCCTATTCTATGAGGGATCGGCACTTGGTTTCGCCGGGTACAAGTTTGTGTTAATGTTCTCAAAGGGGATGTCCAGCCATCATTCCACCATTAGGCTGCATTCGTCACCACTCGCCCCTTTCCGTAACCTGCGCTATTCGGCTTGTCCCGGAATAACACGAGTTGGTCACGAATGCATTAGGCTGCTGAATCATGGATCACTGTTATTACGCGCATTCTGATTGGTTTGTTGTATTTTTGCACATAACTTGGGTCAATAGGGAAACGAGTCTTGTTGCAGATTTGAGGGTTCGCAGATTTGAGTTCCACAGCGTACCAATCTGGATCAAATTATTTTCGGTTGCTTTGATATGTTTGTAACCGTTCTTATTTAAACATTTTGAATACATCACGTGATAGTTTACCTTTCACAAGCATGGTTACGTTACCAACAGGCTATTTTAGAAGAATTGGCTGTTATAAATTATGTTTGTTTGTTATTTTACGCCGCACTCAGCAATATTCCAGCTATATCACGATGGTCTGTAAATAATCGAGTCTGGACCACCTAATCCAGTGAATGACATCATGAGCATCGATCCACGCAATTGGGATCGATGACATGCATCAACCAAGTCACCGAGCCTGACCACCCGATCACGTTAGCCGCCATTTATGGCAAGCATGGGTTGCTGAAGATCTATTCTACCCCGGATCTTCACATGTCTTATAACTTAAGGCAAAGATGAAGCGGGAACACGGATCACTGTTGATAAGTTCCTGGCAAACCATGAACAAACAACCCATCGCGAGGGGTGGCATTCAAACCTGAAGAGACCTGGACGTAGCCATCTAAATCCATTGAGATACTTCAGGTTGAGCAAGACAATGATGAGACCACTTCCAGCTTCGATCGGTTTGATGTCACCCCAGGAGAAAGATTAACGACCCTGAGTTTGGTTTTACGCCGCTTTTAGCAATATTCCAGCAACATCACGGCGGGGGACACCAGAAATGGGCTTCACACATTGCACCCATGTCGGGAATCGAACCCGGGTCTTCGGCGTGGCGAGCGAACGCTTTAACCACTAGGCTACCCGACCGCCTCCAATGCCCTTGAGAGGGAGAAGAGCTAGGCAGCCACAGACAATGGAAGGGTTATCACGATGCTGTTTCACATCTCGTTGGACTGTGAAACAGGGGAATTGAAATGTTAAATGCGAATTGGACAAGACAATGTTTTGCGTAGTGCTCATTCTTTTTATCAATTGTTTATTTAATATTTTAAAGTAAACAAATGCTGGACGTATGTTTGTGCGTGTGTGTGTTGCTTAAAAAACACGATGGGGATTATCCCTTGGCCAGCTGCTGGACAAATAGAAAGTCACCGTTTATGGTACCCAAACAGGTTGTTAATCATAAAAAAAACAGACATTACAGACATTAATTGTTATTTTCATTATTCACAATGTCAAAATCAAAGCTTTTACGTTTTACACACTCAGCAATGAAAGCAATGTTAATTTGTTGTATGTTTTCCCTAACGAATAAGGGGCTTTTATCCCATGGGGATTATCTCCGGGTGGGCTTTTATCCACAAGGGCTTTATGGATGTCAACTTCTTTTTTGTGAGGAACACGTTTCGGTGTTATATACTTACTCATTCATCCGGTGATAATTCGATTTTTAGATATCATTAAATGATTTATTGATATCAAGATTTCGATCTATAGTTTGCAGACACGGTGTGGCTAGGAGAGTTTCACTTGTTACCGGAATGCCATGTTAAGCTTAATTAAATAACAGAAAGATTTTAAACCTATTTTTAATAATTCACCACCTACAAATAAATACATCCAATATCGTCATGGTCAATGCGACATAAAATTGAGGGGGTGGCACAACACGATACCGCCCCAGCCATGACTAGTCTCACCCCCAATAAAATTTTGATCGATAACATCTATATATAACGACAGCCAACTCGTGAGACTGGTTTCTAATGAAACGCTTTTGTAGGATACTCATATATCTAGACACACCTACGTTCAGCAACATATAATATACCCTTTCATATATATATGTTTCTTTTCAGTTGACAACATCGTCGAAATGCACCTGACGTTATCCAATCAAATACCGAGTTATGAATAACTGCCAATGAAAAAAAGAGTTAGGTGTAATCTATATTTAGAAACAAGGGAGCTAATTCATAAACAGGAAGTATGCCACACAACATGGCGTGAAGTACAAAACATAATTTGCGAAATAGATATAGAGGAAGACAATGGAGTTTCTTCAGCATTTGGCAGCTTCCTTAAAACGTGGAAGGACAGCGGAACTGCCTGCAGGTATTCCAAGTATACACATGGATTCTAATTTGAGTTGTGGTCAGTTGAAAATGGTGTTACCTTGTCTGGGGCATTTTGACTCAAGCGTTGAAACTCTCCTATGTCAATTTGTTTACTCTCACACTAACTCATCGTTAGAATTTATTACCATTAATTTACTAATATAGTCTTTGACCGATACTATGAAACGCATAACTAATTGAGAAGGTACAGAGTTGCGTCCCTTGGTCACGCCAGAACTATGATTGTGTGTTCGAATCCAGGTTCAAACAGATTCATATGTTGATAAGTTTGTGGGTTTGAATCCCGGTTCACCCAATGATGTTTCTAGGTTTGGGCGCATAATGTCTGTGTTCGTGGCTTTCACCAAAGTGGTAAGGCACTGAGAGACATGTATCACTTAACTTGGTGCTTTCCTCCCACGTTAAGCTGACACGTCGTAATATAGCTGGAATACTGTTACAAGCGTCATTAAACCCAACTCGTTCACTCACTCACTCACTCACTCACTCACTCACTTTGGTGTAGCTACATTATCGTAATGGTGACAGGTATACAGTCTATCTGTAACTTAAACCACAAGACTGAAGCCAAAGTCTAGAAAAATTCAGTTTTATTTAGTAAGCTTAGCTAATAAAAAGTCCATGGATTGATAAGACCAAAATGTACAAAAAATGATGCTAAGTGCTTGTTTCCGTCTTGTAGACTCATAAGGTTTTGGCACAGACTGTGTATGCTTTTACAGCCTGACGCTAGTTATTTATAGCTAAGAATCCACATAAGTATTGTAGTGCAGAAATTGTGTAAAAATAGCAATGCTGGCTGAGACAGGTGTCTGTTTGAAATGTATCAACTTCGCTTAAATATTTGACATAATTGTGAATGTGGATATGAAGGTTTACATTAAACTGACACTTACTATTACAACAAAGGTTGAGGACAGAACATTATAGAATGACATTTGCAACTGTGAGAATGTGTGGATTTCCTTCGAATTAAACAGGGCTCTCGACTGAAACTTCAAACTTCTTTGACTTCGAGAACATTGTCTGTAAGTTTCCTTTTCTGTTAACATGGTAAACAGAATCAGTTGCAATCCATCTGCATAATGTCACTGCTCAGAAGCTATACTCCTCGCAATATTGATCTTTTATCACGTTTTCTTTCTTTCAGATGACAAAGCTGCCTTTTACACCATAATGCCAATGGTGATTGCTAATCAGCACAGGTACCATATTATTTTACATTATTATATGTTCATCAACAATAAACACATTCCTCTGTTTTGTAATCATGGTTATCAGGAAAAATTGTATTTTTAAATTTCTTGGCCATTGACAAATAATTAACGTTATTGATATTTGACGTGGTCTTTTTGCTGTGATTCATGCCAACTGTTTTGGTAGATAAATCAGTCATCATTGACCAATGAGTTTGACAAATATGCTTTTCTCTTTCACAAATACCTGGAAACATATTCTTGACAGGTTCTTTTGTTTAACTATTTCATGTTTATCATTTTTTATTATCTATAGATGTATAGAATCCCTGCTTGTACTATCACTGATGATGCTGATGAGGTCTATGTGGACAGTGGTTCCATCAAATTTTAACCTGCGCATGTTTCAGTAAAGCTCAATGTAAATGTTTTGTTTTGGTTTGGTTCGTTGTTTAACACCGCACTCAGCAATATTCAAGCTATATGATGGTGGTCTCTTAATAATCAGGCCTGGTACACAAACCAGTGAGCCAGTGGAGTCCAGGAAGTCGGGGTTCACTAACATCCAGGTGATACAATCTAACCATGTAATTCTTCATGAGTCAACTGACCGCCTCCGTGGTCTTGTGGTAGAGCGTCCGCCCGGAGAGCGGAAGGCCCAGGGTTCGATCCCGGGCCGCGTCATACAAAAAGACGTTAAAAGATTGTACTTGTTGTTACCCTGTCTGGCGCTCGGCATTAAGGGGCTAAAACAAGGACTGGTCGGCTCGGAGTCAGTATACTGTGCCTGAGTGGGGTATTCATGTTAAACTGCGGCATGGTATCTCAGTGAGCTAGCACTATAAATCGGCATCAGTCCGGACTAGTACAAGCAGCCACACACACACATACACGTGCATGCACGTCGCTATATAAGTGCAATAATCTTGGACGCGACGTTAAACCCAATTTCACCTCACCTCATGAGTCAACTGTCAAGAAAAGCATGTGTAACCTGAAACTCGTTTGTTTTTTGTTTAACGCCACATTCAGCAATATTCCAGCTATATGACAGTTGTCTGAGAAATAATTGAGTCTGGAACAAACAATCCAGTGATTGACATCATTAGCATCGATCCACGCAATTGGGATACGATGACATGCATCAACCAAGTCAGCGAGCCTGACCAACTGATCCCGTTAGTCACCTTTTACGACAAGCATAGTCGCCTTTTAAGTCTTTTACTGCTAGCAGGGGTTGCTGAAGACCTATTCTACTCGGATCTTCATAGGCCCCAGTGTAAATGTAACGGGAGTATGTCTACATCGTTTTGTACAATGGGGTTTCTCAAACAGTAATCATTATTACCAGGCATTTTGGGTTTCAAATTATCCGCATCAAACAACGCTGTATTGGGCGAGTGTGGCAGATACCCTATTCGTGTACAGTATATGCTTTGACCAGATGTCTGAAATATTGGCTGAACATACTGATGATGCCAGACTTCCGTTTACCAAGAAAGTGCTACAATATGTTGTACCTGTATGATTAACATGGTCGTGTCAATTGGGTAACTAAATTAAGGAATTGTCTTTGTAAACTTGGGTTCGGAGATGTATTGAGGTTCCAAATGTATGGAAACCAAAAGGTGTTTCTTAATATGTTTAAACAATGTTTGAAAGACAATTTTCAGCAGATCTGGCATAGCGAACTTCTTGCAAGTTCAAAAATGTCATTTTATGCTTGTTTTAAAACTTATGTTAAATGTGAACCTTATTTGTCATTCTTAAATTTCACAAAATATGAGAACAACCCTTACGAGATTCAGACTGAGTTGTCATACTTTGGAAATTGAGAATGGACGTCATTATAAAATCCCAAGAAATTTAAGAAAATGCAAACTTTGTAAATTAGACTGTGTTGAAACAGAGTACCACTTCCTGCTTATTTGTCCATCGTATGTCAAGTTACGGCAACTATATCTCAAAGCAAAGTTCTATTGTCATCCTAACATTCATAAATTTAATATGCTTCTGTTATCACCAGATACATATATTATTACAAATCTAGCAAAATATCTATATTATGCAAATGAAGTAAGAAATGCAAAACTGAAAGCTTAAAACCTGTCTGTACTCACCTTTTGTACACAAAGACCTGTGGCCTATATGTATTGGAAATAAAATGATTGATTACCAGGCTTCATATGAATGTAACATGCTTTTGCTCGTTAGATTTGTTTTGAAACAAATTGTAAAATAAGTGGTATCTGACAGCCACTCGTGTAGTAGATTTGTTGACAACAATGGCTAGTGTGTAGATGGTGTGCTACATCCATCACTTATTCCAAATTTGTAAATCTTATCTTGTGAAGAATTTGTGAAAAATATTTATGTTTTTATGACTGTGAATAACTTTACTTACCAGTTTTCTTGAGATGAATATTTGTAACTGGCAAGAAAGTAGGAATATTTTATTTTGATGTGTTTTTCATACACATCTGTAATAATCCTCATGTCCTGTTATCATGGCATCCATTGTTGCTGCAGAGTTGGGATATCAGGATAGTGCTATCAGTCTTTCATCACTCAGCAGTGATATGAAATTTATTAATAAACCTGAACTACCTCAACATCAAAAATATATATGGATAGTTTAGTTTAAGATCTAGATTCAGTCCCAGATTCCCAGCCAAATATTACCATGGTTACCTATTATCACTATTATGCTAATATATACTGTAATTATCAGGCATGCTCATTCAAATGTTACTTTCAGATCAGTGACTGACTTGCTCTCTGGCTCCAAGTTTGATGTCAATTATGCATGTGGTCGAGCGAGGCGGACATTGCTCCATGTTGCTGCAAAGTAAGTTGATAGCAAATCAAATCTTTTACTCTGATACGATACATCTCTGAGTCAAGATCTGGCGATACCTCCATTGTAGGCCGCATCCGGTGAACCAGGAAACCATTATTTATGAAAGATGAGTGGGTTCTTGAACCCATCAGATGTTTGTTTGTTTGTTTGTTTGTTGTTTAACACCACACTCAGCAATATTCCAGCTATATGGTGGCAATCTGTAAGGAATTGAGTCTGGACCAGAAGTCCAGTGATTGACATCATGAGCATCGATCCATGCAATTGGGATCGATGACATGCATCAACCAAGTCAGAGAGCCTGACGACCCGATCCCGTTAGTCGCCTCTTACGACAAGCATAGTCCCCTATTCTGCCCCGGATCTTCAAGGGCCCGATCAGATGTAGGCGTTTTATAACTAATCAGGTCCAAAGTTTAAATTTTTACCAAGTAATATGGCTACAAGTATTTTTTTCCAGGTAGCCAGTGGTAAAATCAAGAAGTCAAGCCAATATTGAAGATAGCCAAAAGCATTTGAAAATATCTTTTATCAATTAACTATTATAATATGTAAAAGTCATAGCACTAGTCTTGAAATTGCATATTAGTGGAAACTGTACTTGGTTTTTGTTACTTGTGACTCGAACAATTATGCAATTTATGTTACCAGATTATATAGGTATATCCTTGCTTATCAAATGAGCATTATCAACTAAAATAAAATCTAATTACATTAATATTCATGTATTTGAGTTCATTGTCGACTTTAGAAGGTATTATTTGCGAGTACAATTATTAACAGACGTTTTTTCCAGGTGTTATTTATTTTTGTGTCTACAGATGTTTAGCAAGAGAATTTAGCCGCCACAAGATATTTTTCTAGGTAGTCATTTGGCTGCCTCTGAATTTTAGACAGTAAACAAATTGATATTTAGGTCGCATTGGCTACTGTTTTAGTCGCAGCTTTGGGCCTGAAAAGTGGCTTCAGTTCTACACAACCTTAATTTGGAAATTTCCGTCTCTAGAACAGAACACTAACACAGAACACAAATACTCCTTTGACGGTACTCCCTTTTGGGTGTAGGTGCCATAGAGCTCAGAAATGACGGTGTATAAAATATTGACAGCAATATGATGGTGCAGCCTTAATTTCCTACTTTAGGAACTGGTAATTTTAGTTCCTTTTCAGAGCTCCAGATAACATTTTGAGCGATTGAGTTTTTACTCTAGGGTTTCTATTTTAATCGGGTTAATAATACGATTTTTGGGGGGGTAATCAATATTTTTTCACTCATCTATTCATCAGTCTATTGAGTTTTTCCCAAAATTAGGGAACATTTTAAGATTTTTAAAAAAAATAATAATGTTTTTGATGTATATAACTGTTCTAAATATATAGGCTTGACTCGGAAAGTAAATTAGCTTGTAATTGTGTTTCGGAAATTAGCTCCTTTTAACGCATGCTGAAAAAGCTTTAGTGGGTATTTACGCATGCTGTTTTTATACATTTGAGTTTTTCATTTTATACATGCATTTCTGTACGCAAGTTCATTGAAAGTAATTAGGTATTGAATATTTTTGGGGGTATTTGAAGAAAATACGCTGCTTATCTGTAGCTCTGCTTTTGTGAGATACAGAAATAAGATATGCTGGTCTGAGTGATTCGATCACTCCTACCTACCATTTTGAAGCCTTGATGCTGATAAGCTGTTTCAAACGTTTACTTGACACTGCCTCCTGTGGCTGAGACATACATGTTGTAAAATAACAAGCTGAAAAATAGAGTAAGGCAAAACATCATTTATTCCATGTTTCAACCTCTTTGAAATGGAGATGTGCAAGTGTTATTTGTTATCTAATTTCCGTCCAGTTGTGGATCATATGAGTGCCTGTGCCTGCTGCTGAAGAAGGGCTCAAAGGTGAATCTTCAGGATGTGTCCGGCTGTACACCTCTGCATCTTGCAGCTAGAAACGGGTAATTACCATCCTCACTGTCATCATCTCCTACCTAGGGGTCGGGTCACCCTTGGAACACATACTCTGCTCTGTGTTTTGGGCAAAAGTGTTCCCCCGATTTACCACCAGTTTGCTTTCTTCAGATGTTATATTACATTTGCTGGAATTTTACAATGGTTCGATTATATTATTTCTTCAGGTAGCCAACAGGATCAAGGAAACAAGTTTTGGACATATCTGTATCAGAAATAGTCTTCAAATGTCTGCCAATTCTTTCTGAGAAAAGTAAACACTGTATGAATATGCTATCTTCCTGAGGCAAGGAAGTTAAGTGACTATAAAAGCCCAGTTTCAACCCTTGCTGAAATAAGCTGGAATTATGGAGTTAAATTTTGGCTATTCATAGTCCAATCAAAACCGTGTAACAATATCGACATCCGGTTCATAATCTGCCATGTAGATTTTTCTGTAAATTGCAGGATTTGCAAAGCATGGGTACCGTCAATTTAGTGTTAACAGATATTTTCCAAATCTTTCATGTTTTTAATGAAGGTGCTCAAGTGATTTGATGCACTTTGCGAAGTAAAATCTGTTTGATTACAATATAGATCTTGATTATCGATCATATTGTCTTGACTGGGCGCTGCCATTTTGTTTGAAGCAAATGCAGGTGATATGAGATTGACTGATCAATAGGAGGGACATAGAAGGGACATAACTTGTAATAGCCCCTGGTGGCGCTGCATTCAACATGTTCAAGCCCAGAAATTCGAGTCTGTTTCGGCAAGGGTGGAAACTGGATGATGAGATGGCATATTATGGAGACTAAGATGTCATATATTTGAGATCACCACTTCTATTCTATGATTGACATATTTACTGGGCCTATTTAATGTTTATTGGCATTTGTCGAGTGGGCCAGCTTATTTCTTGAAGACTAGTTGATGGTGAGATTATTTCTGAAATATCCCCAACTATCACCAATAAAGTACGACTTAAAGACCACACATAGACTGTATACTTGGCATAGATATAATGTTAAACATTGAATGTAGACTTACAAAAAGCACTCATCACGAATGACGAACTATTATCAATGTGAACAGTGTGCATACAAGAATAATAAGAATAATGATAATCTGAGAAATAATGTGCTGATGTGTGTCTTTTCTTCCAGACAAAAGAAATGTCTGAACAAGTTGCTGGAGTATAAATCTGATGTCAATATTCGCAACAACGAAGGGCTGACTGCAGTAAGTACACATATTTATTGATGTGAAATCTCCACGGAAATGCAGAAGTTCACGTTTTTTAAAACAATAGGCCTTGGAAAAAATCATTTTCCACAGAAAAACGTTATCAAAGATTTATACAAAATACTCCGAAAAATATATTCTTGTTTCCGGACAACCGTCGCAGATTGTCCTGTTTTCAATCAGAGCTTTCAGCATCATGTATGCCTTTATTATTTTTCATGACACTATACTATTATCATTGGATTATAGGTTTTCAGACATTATACGTTTTCTATCAAGAATACAGGCACTACATGTATAACGCGTCACACAGAAATTGTAAATACTCAGAAGATGTCATGCCCCCAGACATGGGTGGGGTGGGGGGGTTGGGGTTGGGATGACCTGCTCACATCCCTGCTTATTGATACAACGAGATTTCAGGTTACACATGCTTTTCCTGGACTCCATGCTCATGCTATCAACCACTGGTCCATCTGACCAGCATTCATTTCTCATTGGGTTGCAATTGAGATTTCACATAGTAGTTACAATCTTGATAGGATATTTGTTAGTCAGAGTACCATGGTTATGTGAACATATCAAGGACCAAGCACTTTTCATTGTGTATGAAGTATGTACATCACTCCAACATTTCCTCTTGGATATGGACTGTGATGGCTGATGCTGGTGTTGTGTCTTCAGATCCACTGGCTGGCGGTGAACGGCCGGACAGAGCTGCTGCAGGATCTACTTCAGCATGTACAGGAGGTGGACATAGAGGTGAGACTGCTTGCTTGAACCATTTCAGCATTAGTGTAGAGAGAGTCCGAAATAGTTGTCTGCCGAAATAGTTGTCTGCCGAAATAGTTGTCTACCGAAATAGTTGTCTGCCGAAATAGTTGTCTGCTGAAATAGCTGTCTACCTGTGGTCTCCTGGCCAGGAAGATTCTTGTCAATGAAGTTTATTCCTACCTGCGGGGCGGTCGGGTAGCCTGGTGGTTAAATCGTTCGCTCGTAAGCCGAAGACCCGGGTTCAATTCCCGACATGGGTACAATGTGTGCAGCCCATTTAAGGTGTCCCCCGCCGTGATATCACTGGAATATTGCTAAAAGCGGCGTTAAACCATACTCACTCACTATTCCTACCTGCCTCACTATTTAGTTACAAATTTCAGCACTGAACATTGTATTTATTTTGTCAGTGTAGATTTGCAAGAGAAAAAAGACAATTGCTGTATTATTACTGCAAATCATGATGGAATATTTTTTTCGGAGTGGTGTTAAATCATCTTACATGCTTACACAGCGATTGTTGATAATAATGTGGCACATATGTCAATTTGACTGAAATATAAATATGTGGTCTCACCAGACTATGTTCTCCATCTTCCCTAGGCAAGGGAGCAGGTTCCACCCATCCGAACTAGGCTGGAATTTTGTAGCTCAATCGTTGCGACACCATTGGCTCTTATGAGTTTTGTCCTTTCTCTGTCCCTCCTATAAACCAATCAGATTCCACTTCTCATATCACTTGCAGAATGGCGACACCCAGTCAAGACGATCTGATCAATAACCAAGATCTTTATTGTAATAAGACGGGTCTTACGTCAGAAAGTGCAGCAAAACACATGAGCAAATTGAGTAAAAGCATGAAAAGGCAGTCGCCATGTTGTTTACGAACCGGATGTTGATTCTGTTTCACAATTTTGATTGGACTATGCCTAGACTCATAAGGCCAGCCAAACTATAACTCCATATACCATCCTAGTCCAGCAAGAGTGTAAACTGGACTTTTAGAGTCAGTTAACTCCCTTGCATTGAAAAGTTGATGTTCTCATTTGATCCATGGTCCAGCTGTGTATCCCCGTGGATCCTACTGGAACTATTCTCTTAAGGACTCATGGTATTACCTTTTGGTGGGTCGTCTAAAGTTTGCAATTTTGTTAGGCAGATTTTTGCATCACTTGGATATGTTATGATCCTATGGTCATGGGTTCAGTCATTGATATCACTGGACCCATGCATAGTTGTACAGGATCCAGGATCCATCTTGATACAAGGTCTCACTGGAACCAAGTTGCATTTGAGTTGTGATTGCTAGTGAATTAGTTGAAAGGTTGATCTATGGACTCACTCGATACAAGAATTCATTTGAGTCGTGGTTGCTCTTGAGGAGTTTACCATGGTGCCAAAAGATCATATTAGATTATCATGACTTGACTTGACAATATCTGTGACACACAGCTGTGGTATAACAGAGGTAACCCCTGCTGGTGTGAAACTATGACAGTAGAGCAGGTAGATGATTATTATTATTTATGTTATTCCATTGCAGGACTCTCAGGGACAAACTGCACTACATGTAGCCTGTCAGAATGGTCACAAGTCTGTGAGTATTTCAACAAGTAAACTGATTTTATGTGACTTCTTGAAACAAGTTAAGGGACAAACTATTATATAAATATTACTCTTGATGAGGTCAATATGGGAAAAGAAGGCCCAAAGGACCCGACCCCTGAATTGGTCTGACCAGAATGAGGCCGCAGGTCAGAACGCCGAATTCCTTTTTTTTCGCATTGACCTCTTCAAGAGTAATGTTCCTCTTTGTTATACTGAAATTCACTTTAAAGTTTATGGAGTATTTAAACATCATCTGTTTCATCACAGTGACTTAGCTGCGAACCATAAAAATGTTGGTAGGCCATCTTGTTTTCTATCAGCTGAGTCAATATTCATCACATGACAGGTCAATACTGATCATGTGACGAGTCAATATTCGAGGTCAGTGTCAGTTACATGATTTTGGCGGTCTACATTGAAATGTGTTGTTTCGTCATGTGGTACAGATTAACCAATGGAATTGCAAGATTCTTAATAGAGGTGTAACAGCTGTTGTTCTCAGAGCCACATTCTTTGCATGAGGCCATGCCCCAATTTCAGTTCCCATTTGACGTAGAGCCATGGGAAGTTTTTAATTAATGAGTTCATGGTAATGTTGCAATATGTACGCAGGGGTCGATTCAACTGCTGGCCCATTGGCCTGTGGCCAGTTAAAATTACAAAGGGCTGTCCGAAAGTTAAAGTAGATGGCACGTCTGGCTAGTCACAATTTCACCCCTTCTCTGTGTATGTTTAATTTTTTTTATTTGATCACCTCTGTAGATTGACAACTAACTGCTATTTTGTAATGTTGTGTCCAATAACATCTCTATTTGATCATAAACCACTACGAAATGAGGTGAATGGAAGCCAAGATATAATCTCAGTGTGTAGGATAAAACGTTTTAGAGGTGAGGAGTTCTAAAATTTTCAGAGCAATCTCCACCATTTAGTTGTAGGCCTGTTTGGAGAAGGGCCAGTAATTTTTTAAAGGAGCAAGCCCTGCTGGCTACAAACAAATTTGTCGTTAAACCTACCCCTGTGCATGCTGAAACTATTCAGATCCATCACACAAAATGTGAGGTTAGCAGATTACATGTTTTGTTCCCTGAAATGAGATGGTGAGGTGAGGTGAAATGGGGTTTAACATTGCGTCCAAGATTATTGCACTTATATATGGCGACGTGCATGTACGTGTGTGTGTTTGTGTGGCTGCTTGTACTAGTCCGGACTGATGCTGATTTATAGTGCTAGCTCACTGAGATACTATGCCGCAGTTTAACATGAATACCCCATTCAGACACAGTATACTGACTCCAAGCCGACCAGTCCTTGTTTTAGCCACTTAATGCCGAGCGCCATGACGCGGTCGGGCATCGAACCCCGGACCTTTCGCTCTTTGGGCGAACACTCTACCACTAGGCCACGGAGGGGGTCCCTTGAAATGAGTTTGTTGCCACCTGGATTTGAGTTTGGTTCTGTCATTGTTGTCATGAGTGCTGGCACCAGTGGACCACAACCTAGGTTTGTTGCAAAAATGTCATATTTGTTCCTGGTGAGGATACTCTTCACGTCTTCCGACCGAGGTGGTATAGATGAAATCTAAGCAACTCTCAAACAATGTTGATTCGGCGGGGATGTGTAGTCCTACTTCATCCTGATAGACAACAGTTTAACATCTCTGAATCGTGGTCAACTTTTGTACGTGTTGTAGCATTGTCAACCATGTATGTTTTCATCGTCCCACTTATGTATTGCCTTCAGGACATGGACACTTGCAATCAGTAGTTCAGTCAGTTTTCTAGTACCATGAATTTAGAGATTACTCAATTCAGATTCGTCAGTCATAGGTTATCAAATTACAATAAGCCCCCTCTGATTTAAATAGACGATTTGCTGGCCGCATCACAGCATTTCTAGAATAGCAGGAATAGTAGTTATTATTCATTCATTGTCAGTAGGCAATTTTAAATAATTATATGTACAATTATAGGATGCCAGATGCAAAGTTACGGTTACCACGACTTTCAAAGGATATGTCGCAGTACATTTCTTTTTCAGAAAACACCATAGAATTTTACAAAGAGATTGGGCTTGGTGGGGCAGCCTAGTGATTTAAGTGTTTGCTTGAACACGCCTAAGCCCCGGGTTCGATTCCCCACATGGATACAATGTGTGAAGCCCCTTTCTGGTGTTCCCCGCGATTATACATCAAAATAGTGACCTGCGGTGTAGAAAATAAATCCTGCATGACTTAATTTTCTTTTGGGTTGTCCGCTTCATGTCTTTCTGACACTTTGTCTTCCCCAGACTCTGCAGTGCCTGCTGGACCATGGGTCTGACATCAATAAGGTCAACCACAACAAATGGACACCTCTCCACTTTGCTTGCAGGTTAGGACACATGTAGACAGATGTGCCGTGAATGAGTGTGTTTGCTGGATATAATGATGCTTTGAACAGTATTTAGGTTATATCACAGCATGTCGACTTGGTGTGGGAGGCTGAAGAGACACACGATGTGGAAGTTTACCAACTTGGTAAAACTCATGAGTCCTGGTTTGGTATTGACAAAGCAAGACTCATTGTCAGGTGAAGTTTAGACACAAACACACAGTGAGAAGATCCTTATGTAACTAGGGGACACAACTTGTGTTGCAAATTGGGGCACTGTCAATTAATATTGGAGGGGGGATCCGACCTCGGCAATGTCGTCTGAGTCCATTTTACGAACAGGTGGGTTAAGTTTGGTATTAACCGCATATTCTCACAATCCTCATGTCGATTATCTGCTACCTTTTCTCCAAATACCGATTGTCATATTTCTACCACTTTTGTATGCGTCTGTACGGTACACTGCGTTTATCTTCGTTGCCCAGCTAAATCTATGGGGAACAACTCACCAGTCACTCTCATAAATAACATCCTCCAATATACAATGTCATCAAGTTGCACTTCGTTCTTCATTGTTTTTTGTGGTTTATAAAGCTGGATAAGAATGATGTTTCGAAGGGTTGCTTGACTGTTTGCGATGTGTTTCCTGTATGCTTCTAGTCATGGTCAGCATGAAGCAGCCTCCATCTTGATGAAGAGAAATGCTAAGTTTGTGGAGGAAGAAAGGGGGAAGACTCCCCTTGACCTCAGTGTGGAGGTAGGTGTCAGACTCAGAGTGACAGAGGTTTCAAATGTTAACATTTCAAGGTATCAAATACTCCACAACACCCACAGATCGTAAAAGATATGTTTTTTTTCGAATATTTGCATTTCAGAGGTTTTCAGTATTTTTCTGTGGCCGTGTTTTTAGCACACACGGAAACACTGCTAAAGAAGCGTAATTACTCGTGCACCTCATTCATTGCGTTGTACTGACAAGTATGGTATGTCCAGGGAGGCTACGGTGAAACGTGTGAGGTGCTGCTACAGAACCAACCCAAGCTGTTTGACAAGCTCCTCCAGAGTGTCCAGAGACCCTTCATCATGGGAGACATGGTCAGTGACAACTTAACACTGTAGGCAAAGTCCCTGGGTTCTGGAAACAAAGTTTGGCACTGACGTGGGGATTGGGTGGTCACAATGGCAACTTAGGGACTGATCATTTATTAGGGGTGGGGGTAAATAACAGCTAAAGAGTGAGGTGGGGGAAGAAGGGGGGGGAAGGGGGGAACATGAGAAAATGGTTACTGTAGCTACAAGTTTGGGCTATGAGGGTTTCATTGTAATCCTCTCCCACTGACCATTCTGTCGTGCGCAGATGGAGAAGGTTCTGGTCTACCTGACACGTGCTGACACAACACTGCAGGACCGAGTGCTGTTTGGACTGGCGGAGCAGATGTCAGTCATTGGTCATCACCTTCTGAGGTAAAGGACATTAGGATGTGTAATCTTAGAGTGAGTGAGTGAGTATGGTTTTAGGCCGCTTTTAGCAATATTCCAGCAATATCACACCAGAAATGGGCTTCACACATTGTACCCATGTCGGGAATCGAACCCAGGTCTTCGGCGTGACGAGCGAACGCTTTAACCACTAGGCTACCCGACCGCCCCAATATAATCTTAGACAGGTCTGAATGGTTTCCCCATCATTACAATGTTCCCCCATCTTCCCGAGGCAGGGGAGTTAACTGACTGTACTAGTCCAGTTTCCACCCTTGCCGAACTAGGTTGGAATTTCTGGACTCAATCACTACCCCTCCAGTGGCTATTACGAGTTATGTCCCTTCTATATCACTCCTACTGACCTATGATATTCCACCTCTCATTATCATTTGCTTCAAATAAAATGGCGTTGCCCAGTGAAGATGATCTGGCCGATAATCAAGATCTGTATGGTAATAACTCTTGTCTTATGTCGCGAAGTACATCAAATCATGTGAGCACCTTGATTAAAAACATGAAAATATTTGGAAAATATCTTTTGATGCTAAGATGACAGTACACATGCTTTGCAAATCCTGCAATCGACCAAAACCTACATGGCAGTTTACGAACCAGATGTCGATATCGTTACACGATTTTGTTTGGACTATGCATAGACTCGTCAGTCCAGCCAAATTATAATTCCATAATTCCAGCCTAGTTCGGCAAGGGTTGAAACAGGAAGATGTGTTCCCCGTCATCTCCCATGAATACATGTGAGTGAGTGAGTGAGTGAGTGAGTGAGTGAGTGAATATAATTTTATGTATAGCAATAATCCCACAATATCACGGCGGGGATACCAAAAATGGGCTTCACACATTGTACCCATGTGGGGATTAGAACCCGGGTCTTCGGCATGAAGAGGGAACACTTTAACCACTAGGCTACCCGACCGCCCCATGAATACAAGTGGCTAAAATGTGATGTAGTTGTGAGACATGTGTATATTGATTAAGCTCATGAAATAATAAATCATTGGAAATGTACAGCTCCTTTAGATCTGTTCTAGACTGTGAATATTATTTATTACATGTAGAATCATTTAGTTATAGAAGAATCTTAACCAAATTCAGAAATGGGTACAATAGCTTAGGCATCCAGAAAGTTCTAAAGGACTACCGTATTCGACGTAATAAGGGCCCTGCTCTAATAAGCACCCACGGAGATATTTGCTAAGATATTGGCTAGTGAACAATCCCAATTAGCACCCCTTCCGATTGATCAATGTACACAAGACTTATTTATTCTCATATAATATGCACTCGTGTGTTATATGCACCCTTAATTATGGGCATTTAATTCTGGAAAAATATATCTGTCGTACGTAAACATTTCAGGCTGTCAGCATAAACCATGAAATTCATCTTTCAACTCTGTTTTTTTCACTAAAATAATATTTTATTAAGAGCCACCTATTTCTAATTTTGAGAGCGCCCAGGGCGCTTATTACGTCGAATACGGTACATGGTCTTGTTTAAGGGCAAGTGTTGATATTGATGGCTCCATACCTTATTAAACATCCTGTCGGGACCCGGGGTAGTATGTGTACCCAGCACCCCATTGCTGATCATAGGAGGCGACCGAATTGGGCTACCCCTAAGAACCTGGTTAGAATTGGTCTTAATGCTATGCTTGTCGTAAAAGAGGCGACTAACGGGATCAGTTGGTCAGATTCGGTGACTAGGCAGATGCATGTCATCGTATCCGAAATGCATACATCAATGCGCATGGTATCAATCACTGGATTGTCTGGTCCAGACTCGATTGTTTGTACATTGCCATCATATAGCTGAACAACAACAAACAAATATACCTCCTCAAACTCGAGAACGCCCAAAAAAGAGAAATTTAATTAGCGTACCCTCTTCTGGTTCAGGTCAAGTGTCGATATAGATATCTCTGTACAGTCGCCACTCATTAACACAGAGCCTGAGAGACGCTTGAACTGATGGTTTGTTGCAGCAGCATGAACACCGATGCGGACGCCGACATCACCAGCCTGCTGAAGTGTGCACACGCCCTGTCCCACCTCCTGACACGGCAGCGGACCGCCTCCATGGGCAGTCTCAAGGACATGCCTGTGACCAAGCCGGACCGATCACAAAGCATTCCAGAGGACCCATTGGAGGTAACAATCTTGTCAATGGTTTTAAACCACTTCTCATGAGGGTTCTTCAAATCGGGAGAAAGAATCAAGAGATTTATCTGGGTCTATGTAGTTTGAGTCCTGGGGACTCTCAAGAATAATTTGGGGGGTCCCGGCCAGTCCAAGATTTGATATCTACAGACTGGCAGCATTTGGTACATTTACCAAATTACATTTACATTTTATCTTCCAAGTTCCTTTATTATGCCCCCTGATTCCATTCACCAAGTTAATACCCACAACACTACATCATTATTACCATGGTCTCAGATGTCATGCTCTTCTCCCTGGGAAGTATACAAGCCAACAAGCCTATGAGGCGCTAGAAGGTAAACAGTCATCTTCTCATCCTATCAGGTACCCTTTCACTGCTGGGTGACCAGGGGCATATTTTGAACAAAGTCAAATGCCTAAGGAGACACTTCATGTAACATGTGTCTCAGTGTGAACCAACAACCTAGAAACTCGGCCCAACACAGTCACCCACATACCTACACCCTGCAACCACCGTTGCTTAACTTCGCCAAATTTGCGACCTCTGCACTGTACAAAACCACATGCGCTTAATGATTGTTGCTCATGCTGTCATCCCCTGGTTTGTCTCCTCGAGGATACATTATTTGCAGGCCAGGGTGCCGTTGCACAAGACAATCTTAGCACTAAGGTGATCGTTACTCCCAAACTTTAACATAGGTTTATGGCAGTTGTAACCCTGAGACCACTTTGTGGTCCTGGGGACTTTGTAGTAAATTGGGGTGCTGACTGTACCTTAAAATAACATTCACTCACTGTTTCAGCCTTTAGCGGGATTGTGGCAGCTGCTTGAAGACTGGCTGATCCTCCTCAAGGTCGAGATGACCGATACCAAAACGTGTACCAAGACACAACCTACTGTCTCACCAGCTTCTACAAACACTCAGGATGTACCCAAAGGCAAGGAACAGGAAGAGAGAACTTCAAGCAAAGACATGAAGAAACCAGACAGCAAAACTGTGATAGCAGAATCGGGAAGTGTACCGACCAGGTTGCCACCATTCCCTTCACAGGAGGAGGACCTGGTGACCGGAGTGTTCCCTCGCGTGTGTGCACTCATCAACGCGTGCTACATCTGTAATGTTGCACATGCTCAACTGACGTAAGATTTTCAATTTTATCATTCCTGCAGTTTACCATTTCTCCAACTTTTGACTCCAACTAATGTTTTAGATGTATGTAAAGAAAGTCAGGCTATCCAAGGCATAGTGTAAATAGAACCTTTTTGGGCCCACTTTGATGACAAGTAAATATTTTAAAGTGGTTGCAAGCATGTTGTTCAGGACCCTCTCCCACAAAGCAATCATAGTGCTACGACTGTCGTAAGTCTAGGTTAAAGTATGGGAGTTACGATCATCTTAGCGCTAAGATCACTTTGTGGAATGGAGCCCTGAAATCTAATGAACATTATCGTAATACTGACAACCAGACATCTTTCTATCATTATCAAGTTTTTCTCTGTTGATGCCATCAAGCATGTTGTGTCCTTTTTGATGCTCATGGAAATGTTTTTGAACAAATCTTACAATGAACCACTCCTGATCTAAAATAAACACAGGTGTCAGTCATGTAAGGCTCAACAAGCAACTGTGCAGATTAACATCCCTTAGGTATGCCATAATTCCATGGGTTTGAAATCCATATTCACCATGGTCATGATTCTTCATCATCTGCCAGCACCATGCATGTGTTCGTGGGTGTCACCAGTAGGCTGGTGTACCTTTCCCAGTGATCAATGGGGTTTGTCCGGCACTGATTCCATGTTTGTCCAGCACTGATTCCATGTTTGTCCAGCACTGTTTCCATGTTTGTCCAGCACTGATTCCATGTTCCTCCAGCACTGATTCCATGTTTGTCCAGCACTGATTCCATGTTTGTCCAGCACTGATTCCATGTTTGTCCAGCACTGATTCCATGTTTGTCCAGCACTGATTCCATGTTTGTCAAGCACTGATTCCATGTTCCTCCAGCACTGATTCCATGTTTGTCAAGCACTGATTCCATGTTCCTCCAGCACTGATTCCATGTTTGTCAAGCACTGATTCCATGTTCCTCCAGCACTGATTCCATGTTTGTCAAGCACTGATTCCATGTTCCTCCAGCACTGATTCCATGTTTGTCAAGCACTGATTCCATGTTTGTCAAGCACTGATTCCATGTTCCTCCAGCACTGATTCCATGTTTGTCCAGCACTGATTCCATGTTCCTCCAGCACTGATTCCATGTTCCTCCAGCACTGATTCCATGTTCCTCCAGCACTGATTCCATGTTTGTCCAGCACTGATTCCATGTTCCTCCAGCACTGATTCCATGTTTGTCCAACACTCATTCCATGTTCCTCCAGCACTGATTCCATGTTTGTCAAGCACTGATTCCATGTTCCTCCAGCACTGATTCCATGTTTGTCCAGCATTGATTCCATGTTCCTCCAGCACTGATTCCATGTTTGTCAAGCACTGATTCCATGTTCCTCCAGCACTGATTCCATGTTTGTCAAGCACTGATTCCATGTTCGCCAGCACTGATTCCATGTTTGTCAAGCACTGATTCCATGTTCCTCCAGCACTGTTTCCATGTTTGTCAAGCACTGATTCCATGTTCCTCCACAACTGATTCCATGTTTGTCCAACACTGATTCCATGTTCCTCCAGCACTGATTCCATGTGTGTCAAGCACTGATTCCATGTTCCTCCAGCACTGATTCCATGTTTGTCAAGCACTGATTCAATGTTCCTTCAGCACTGTTTCCATGTTTGTCCAGCACTGACTCCATGTTTGTCCAGCACTGATTCCATGTTTGTCCAGCACTGATTCCATGTTTGTCCAGCACTGTTTCCATGTTCCTCCAGCACTGACTCCATATTTGTCCAGCACTGATTTCATGATGATTATATTCACAGACTCAGCACACCTCAGCCTAACTTCACTGAGTTCCTCTTGAAGCATCTTGATGTCTTGAGGATGCTGGTTGCAAAGTAAGATCTACTCTTTTGTTTGTTTTTTATCATTTGAGCTCACCTGGTCAGAATGTCCGAGGGTACATGGCGTCTCCATTCCTGCAGGCCACCCCAGACTGTCACAGAGTAAACTTGGTGCTATAACATGTTCAAACCATATTCCACTTGTAAAACAGGTCATATGTAAACGCAGGTCAATTGTAATTGCTGAAAAAAGGAAAATTGTGATTGATTGCCATGTTTGGATATATTTGTAAGGTCACTGTCGCACATAAAATCTAAAACTGGCGTGGGGCCGAATTAATGTTCTGTACATGAATTTGATGACTTTTTGGTGAATAAAATTGAATTAAATTAATCTTATAGACAATTTATGTGTAGTTTATTAGATTGTGATAAAACATAAGAATTGTGTACATGGTGAATGTGTTATTTAATTGTTTTCATTTTCATTCATTTTGTGGTATTTGAGGATACTTCTAAACATCTGAAAAAGAATCTTTCTCTGATTTGTGTGTTATTTAGGGAGTTTTTGGACAAAGTCTGAATGGTCTGTTTACATGTATTATTTTCAGGACACCTTCATATTTGACTCACTTTTTATCCCAAATGCTCCAAATGTTTATTTAATGCTACAGCACTTTAACAGTCTGAAATAGTCTCCGCTCAAATAAGAAGGAAACTGAAGAAAAGTGTTGGTGTAGTTATGTGTAATGTGTTTCTTTTTGACTGATAATAGTTTCAGAAAATGTACCACTTTATGGATAAAAACTTCTGCTTTATTGCATTTAGTGATTCTTCGAAGTAGAATATGACACCATTATCAAGATGATTGCAATAAACCAGACGTTGTTATCCATAAGGTTGTCATCTTCCTGAGGCAAGGGTGTTAACTGACTACAAAAGTCCAGCTTCCACCCTTGCCGAACTACGCTGTAATTTCTGGGCTCGATCGTAGCACCACCAGTTGCAATTACGAGTTATGTCCCTTCTGTGTCCTTTCTATTGACCAATCAGATTCCACTTCTCACATCATTTTCATTTGCTTCAAACAAAATGGCGGCGCCCAGTCCATACGATCTGATCCATAATCAAGGTCTTTGTATTGTAATAAAATGGGCCTTACCTTGCACATCATTTGATATCTGTCGACGCCCAGTTGATGGTGCACATGCTAAGCAAATCCTGCAGTCAGTCGAGATTTGCATGTTAAAAGCCATGCTGTTGACGAACCAGATGTCTAGTTCGATTGGACTATGCGCAGACTCGTTAGTCCAGCCAAAATGCACCTCCAGAATTCCAGCCTAGTTCGGCAAGGGAGGAAACTGGACTTTTACTGTCAGTTCACTTCCTTGCCTCAGGAAGATGGCATATTCATACAGTGTTTGCTTTTCTCATAAAGAATTGGCAGACATTGTGAAGTTGTTTGTTTACCTCTTTACCCAACTTCTTGAAGGCCAATCTATAATAGTTTGGCATGTGTGGGACACTCACAACTCATACCCCCTTAAACTTGTAATCTATATAATCAGCGAGTCAGCTGAGAGACTTTATCAATGTCTAGATTCTGAATATTTATAAAGTCCTGTATGACTTTTCTATTTATCTATTTTGAAACAACATGAATGTCCACATCCTCATGACACTACAAGCATCACAAATACAAGCTCTGTAACAATGTAAATCGTGACACTCATGATGTTGAGAATTGCTATCAATGTTTGAGACATTTGTGTGCACATCATGTAGGATGAAGATAGGATGTGTGTGACTCATCATTCACTATTTCCTGACAGGGAGCCTGGTGTGATCTTCCAGCACTTCAACTTCCTGCTGCACTGTCATGAACTGATGGCCTACTTCCTGCCCACCATCAGAGCACAGGTTAGATCTTCAGGGCTGGGATTATTATCCATCAACGTCCATTTGTTATACCCCCAACCTTTTAGGTCGGGGGTATATAGTTCTACCAAGGTTCCGTCCGTCCGTCCATCCCGAAAACTTTGTCCGTGCGATTTCTCTTGAACTATTCAGTGGATTCATCTCAAACTTTGTACATATAATCTGTGTCATATGGAGGGGTGCAGTCAAAAGAAAAAAGTTGTTTTTATTAATTTTCCATTTTTTATGAATTTTTCAAACCCTAACCCTATCCTAGCTATTTAATTTGAAACTACTGACACACTAGGCGGGTCGGGGGTATTAGTGAGCCATGCTCACTTCTGCCCTTGTTTCTGTATATCATGTAGTTAGTACTTTCCTCTTGTAATAATCCCTTTTGTGCATAATTCTTGTCATATTCATTGTTCATAATATATTTAGGTTTTGTTACTTTCAATTAATTTGTGTACAGAAACGCATGTATTAAATAAAAAACTCAAATGTATAAAAACAGCTCGCGTAAATACCCAATGAAGCTTTTTCAGCATGCGTACCAAGGAGCTAATTTCCAAAATACAATAACGAGCTATTTTAGTTTCCGATTCAAGCCTATATATTTAGAACAGTTATATACATCTAAAACATTATTTCAATTTTTTCAAAATCTTTAAATGTTCACTAATTTTGGGGAAAACATGTTGGTTACCAAATGAAAAATGTAATAACCCAATTAAAAAGAAACCCTAGAGTAAAAAATCAGTTGATCAAAAAGTTATCTGGAGCTCTGCAATAGTATGCTTGTGACTCAATTATTTACAGTTGTAGATGATGAAGACTGATTATCACAGACTATGGTGCTAAAGAACATGTACATTACTTACTAAAGTGTACTATAGTTTTCACACAACTATACCTAATATTTTATGAATGGTCATTTCTGGCATTGACGTCTAAACATGTCTCAAAATAATAATCAGTCAAACTCACCATTTTAACCTGAATATTGATCTCATCAGTACTAAGCATCAGGACAACACATCACATGCTAGGACCCGTGAAGATCCGGGGTAGAATAGGTCCTCAGCAACCCATGCTTGCCGTAAAAGGCGAGTATGCTTGTCCTAAGAGATGACTAACGAGATCAGGTGGTCAGGCTCGCTGACTTGGTTGACGCATGTTATCGTATCCCATTTGTTTGGATCGATGCTCATGATGTCAATCACTGGATTGTCTGGTCCAGACTCAATTATAAACAGACCGCCATCATATAACTGGAATATTGCTGAGTGCGGCGTTAAACAACAAACAAACAAACATCACATGCTTGTGAACACCAGTATTATGTCAAAGAACAAAACAACTGTTGTTACTACCCTACTGGCCCATATCTGTTCAATGTCGGGTGTTTACAGTACAGTACAAATGTTGACAGTATGTAGAACACAAGTTTAAGCATCTCAAGTGCTATGTGTCAAAAACCTTGACTTCTGAATGGTATGCCAAACACCAGTGTTGGTAATCTTTATAAAGTGTAATGACCTAGAAGTAGTTGTTCTTCTTTCAGCCTTTTGAAGTTCGACGTGAATGGTTTTACACCAACTTGAAGACGAACGTGAAGACGTCAGATGTAGATCCGGACATCCCTGTCCTGACAGTCAAGAGAGGTGGGCAGTCCACTCTTTTCTTGCCTGTCATTGAAAGAAATCATTATTTATATTATCTTAGCTCACCATGATGTCAACAAAGTGTGCTTATGTTATGGGTCTGACATCATCCAGTTGTCTGTAGATCTGTCTGTTATGAAACAAGACCGCCTCCATGGTCTAGTGGTAGAGCGTCCGCCCGGAGAGCGGAAGGTCCGGGGTTCAGTCCCTGCAGGCGTCACACCCAAAGACGTTAAAAGATGGTACTTGTTGTAACCCTGTCTGGCGCTCGGCATTGAGGGGCTAAAACAAGGACTGGTCGGCTCTGTGTCAGTATACTGTGTCTGAGTGGGGTATTCATGTTAAACTGTGGCATGGTATCTCAGTGAGCTAGCCCTATAAATCGGTATCAGTCCGGACTAGTACAAGCAGCCACACAAACACACACACATACATGCACGTCGCTATACAAGTGCAATAATCTTGGACACGAGGGTTAAACCCCATTTCACCTCACCACCTCTTATGAAACACAACTGGTCATGTCAAAATAATTTTCCTATGACATGGTTCTGCAACTGTCTGACTGCAACAAAGTAGAGTTTTAGTTTCAAAAAATTCAAAATGGATGTCATCAAAGCATATTTTCGTGAACATAGAACTTTCACGCGAACTCCTTCTGCTCAGGAACTATTTGACATACCAGTATTGCATATTGCCAACATTTTGAAGTATGTCCGAAGTATGTGAAAGTTGCCTTAAATAGGGTGATTCTGTCACATGGTAAACTCTCTTGAAACATTAAGGTCACTCTTTTACAATTATTACATTATGTTTTTATACCTCGAATAAGAATCTTACAATTCAGCTGGTTAATTTGTACCATGTGATGAAACAATACATTTCAATATGGACCCCGAAATCATGTGACTGACAATAACCTCGAATATTGACTCGTCACATGATCAGTATTAACCTGTCAACTGATCAATATTGACTCGTCACATGATCAGTATTGACCTGTCAACTGATCAATATTGACTTGTCTGCTAGAACACAAGATTGCAACTGGTACGAATATTTCACGGATCACAGCTAAGTTACTATAATGAAACAGAGGACAGCTTAAAGACTTAAGCTTTAGAGTGAATTTCGGTATAACGAAACGATTGATTACTTTTGACGAGGTCAGCATGCAAAAACAATGACCCTCGGACCTGACCCCTTTAGAGGTATGACCACCTCAGGGATTGGGTCCTGGGGTCTATTTCGCATATTGACCTCGTCAAGAGTAATTATTTGTGTGATGATTCAGCTATTGTTATCAGGGTGATACAGCCATATATTGGTTAGGAAGTAGAAATAAATCTGTTCTTTAACAAAAATATCAGATTATCAAAATGATGAAGTCTCACTCATACTGTTACAATAGATCTGAAACAATTTGATTTGTAGATCGACTCTTCCATAGCAGTTGTGAGGAGATCATCGCCCTGAACCCGTCCCGCCTCAAGATCAACCTCTCTGTACGCTTCAATGGTGAAGAGGGCATGGTAGGCAGCACAAAACCATGTCGCCCTATGTTCCTTCCTTCATAGGGAAGCCCCATGTTGTTGAAATATAGATTACTAAGGCTAAAAAAAATAATTGTCTTTGTTCTCAGGCACTGCCCACATCATCATAAAGTTCATTGCACGTTTTGTTTTTGTTTCCATTTTCATTTTTTTGTGCATTGTGTTTAAGTATTAGGATTTTTATACTTTTTTGTAAATGGAAATGAAAACAATACGTCCGGCAGACTGATGCGGATGGTGCCTGAGAACCAAGACTATTATTTTTTTTAGAATAAACAAGTCCCCAGGAGACACTTTTTATTACCATGAGCGTATTTCAAACTGTATCTAATGAGAAAAAACGAGTTAGGCTTAAAAACATAAATGAATTGGTTCTCAGGCAATGACTTTTGAAAATATATATTTTGGGCGGGCGGGCGGGTACCACCTATGAAGTAACAGATATTCATGACATTTGAAAAAAACTGCAAAAACCCACAGACTTGACAAATTCAAGTAAATGTTCATAGTTATGCAAAGATGAATGCACATTGTGTTTATGCATCTCTGGTGTTTCATGAAAATTAGAATTGTGTCTGTTTGGTGTTAATTATCCATCTGGGAGCAGAGTAGACTGTGTACAATTGCAGTTCTACCAACGCCTCCATTCAAATGATCAGCTCATGATCAATAGTAAATTTGTCTGCATGTGATGTTATTAAACACTGTGTATTGTTATTATACATGCTCTCTTCATGGATGAGTAATTAATAATGATGAGTAGGACATGAGTAGACAATCATATGTCAACTTACTGAAACATTATTTTCCCATCTTGATTTGGAAATTTGTATTTTAACAAATGGAAACTAACACACAACACAAATATTATTTTGATGTTACTCCATTTATGGTGTTGATGACATGGCAACCGGAAACAACAGGATGTATAGAATACCCATAATAATATAATAGCACAACTTTTTTCTGCATTTGGAACTCCCTGATTATATTCATTTTTGAAAGTTAAAAAATCAGAATTGCTTGTCTGAATGCTTCACTAATTCATTCGAAGTATTTAGAAGCTTTGATGCTGAATGCTGATAAAACAGTCAAGACCTCATATTGTCTTGAAAGACTAAGAATATGATGACAAATGGAATTAACACATTTGACTGAGATGTGGTTAAAATGAAACTCTCTCACTATCTGATTTCAGGGACATGGTGTGGTTCGAGAATGGTTTGATGTACTTTCCCGGGAGATACTGAATGCTGACTATGCTCTCTTCACACAATCAGCTGACGGTAAGGGCAGTCTCGTGGTTTGTCCCATTCAGCTAAACTCAGTGAGTGGTCAGACTTGGTGACTTGATATCACGACTTGATACTCTGACATCGTGGATCATTACTCACAATATTGATCACATGATTGTCTTGTCCAGACTCAGACATTTGCAGACCAGTATTATCAAGGTGGAGTATTGCTGGGTGTGGCGTTAAACAACAAACAAACTAACAAACATCTCAGTGAGCAATGTCTTCATCATGTTCATACCATCACAATGGAAAGTGAGTGAGTTGGGTTTTACGCCACTTTTAGCAATATTCCAGCAATATCACGGTGGGGGACACCCGAAATGGGATTCACACATTGTACCCATGTTGGGAATTGTACAATGGAAAGACTTTATTAAGTTAAACATGTAAAACAACATGAGAGGAAACAATGCATCTAGTTTTCCAGTAACAAAAAAGAGTATAGGTGGTTTTTAAACAAATATTTATTAGTACTGCTTTTGCCAGACTGCTGTGAAGTCATTATGGATACCTCTGTCTTTCAACAATGCAGAGTTCCTGGCTTTATTTGACATGATGTCAGAGGCTAATATTTCCCCCAATATAAGGAGGCATATTTCTTTTAGTCACTTCAACACACCGCTGTCATATACAATAGCTGGAATATTGCTGAGTGTGGCATTAAACAACAAACAAACAAACAAACTCTTCAACACATGGTGATGCAGCCAGTATACTCCATACATAAACCCTCACTTTCTGATTCCTTGATTACATATTGTCACTCAGGGTCCATAACCTGCCACATCTTGTCAAGTTGTTTACATAACACTGAAAAGTCCTGACAAACGCCAGCCTTATAAAACTATTGACATTGAGTTAACTTTTCATCACACTGCTTCCTGCTCATAAAGAAATCTAATGTGCAAAAGTAGCTTTGATCTCTGGTAATCTCATCAACAGGGTGTTTCCAACTTTCCAGACGCAGTTAGGGCTATTGTTAACAATAATGTCCTGGCAGAAAACTTTCCAGACACAGTTAGGGCTATTGTTAATAATGTCCTGGTTGAAAACTTTCCAGACAGAGTTAGGGCTATTGTTAACAATAATATCCTGGCAGAACACTTTCCAGACACAGTTAGGGCTATTGTTAACAATAATGTCCTGCCAGAAAACTTTCCAGACACAGTTAGGGCTATTGTTAACAATAATGTCCTGGCATAAAACTTTCCAGACACAGTTAGGGCTATTGTTAACAATAATGTCCTGCCAGAAAACTTTCCAGACGCAGTTAGGGCTATTGTTAACAATAATGTCCTGGCAGAAAACTTTCCAGACACAGTTAGGGCTATTGTTAACAATAATGTCCTGCCAGAAAACTTTCCAGACACAGTTAGGGCTATTGTTAACAATAATGTCCTGGCAGAAAACTTTCCAGACGCAGTTAGGGCTATTGTTAACAATAATGTCCTGCCAGAAAACTTTCCAGACACAGTTAGGGCTATTGTAAACAATAATGTTCTGGCAGAAAACTTTTCAGACACAGTTCGGGCTATTGTTAACAATAATGTCCTGCCAGAACACTTTCCAGGCGCAGTTAGGGCTATTGTAAACAATAATGTCCTGGCAGAAAACTTTCCAGACACAGTTAGGGCTATTGTTAACAATAATGTCCTGGCAGAAAACTTTCCAGACACAGTTAGGGCTATTGTTAACAATAATGTCCTGGCAGAAAACTTTCCAGACGCAGTTAGGGCTATTGTTAACAATAATGTCCTGGCAGAAAACTTTCCAGACACAGTTAGGGCTATTGTTAACAATAATGTCCTGGCAGAAAACTTTCCAGATGCAGTTAGGGCTATTGTTAACAATAATGTCAGAAAACTTTCCAGACGCAGTTAGGGCTATTGTTAACAATAATGTCAGAAAACTTTCCAGATTTACAGTGTAAGCCTAGCACTGATGTCAAGTATGTTCAAAGTGAAGGAATTCATAGTGATTTTATTTCTTAGATCTTGTTCATACATATGTTTATCTTTTTAAGACTAACGATAGTCAAGTACTGTGTCATTGTCAAGTGTAATGTTGTAACCCTGAATTGATGTATTCCCATTGTCTCATGGATAGTTGCAATATGTTAATAGTTCAGGAAATTATTACACCCATATTTTTTATGTATGCCATCAGCTGATATAATTGAAAGCAAGGAACCCTTTTCTATTTATTGAAATTAGCAGAATAGTTTACTTTAGTCCAAATTAGTTTCCAAATAGTCATCTGAATTGGATGTTAATTATCCCCTGCCATGAAGTGGAATGGGGATATCCATCCGTCCGTCCGTCATGCTTTGTTTTTCTGGAGCAGAACTAAAAAAACATGAGAGATATCTCGACTAAACTAGGCACATTGATAGGTCTAGTCATGAACTGGTGTCTTTTGATAGTTGGGGATTTTTGAAAAAATTATTTTTCGAGTTTCCATGGCAACGACTTTGACTCAGATTGATAATGGCGGTATTGGCTGGGGATAAAAGTATTTCATGCTCATTTCTTTTAAGTCAACAATTGCGGTACCACAAACTCCCGGTGTTGCAGTGGCCTGTAGAGTCCTTGTGTTGTGTTGGTTTCAGGCTGTACGTTCCAGCCCAACAGCAACTCCTCCATCAACCCCGACCACCTCAGCTACTTCCGCTTTGCCGGACAGGCCATCGGTCTCGCTCTCTTCCACAGGCAGCTGCTCAGTGTCTACTTCACCAGGTCCTTCTACAAACACATACTGGGTGAGTCTCTACAGACACCTCCTGGGTGAGTCTCTACAAACACATGCTGGGTGAGTCTCTACAGACACATGCTGGGTGAGTCTCTACAGACACATACTGGGTGAGTCTCTACAGACACATACTGGGTGAGTCTCTACAGACACCTCCTGGGTGAGTCTACTGACACATACTGGGTGAGTCTCTACAGACACGTACTGGTTGAGTCTCTACAAACACATACTGGGTGAGTCTCTACTGACACCAACTTGGTGAGTCTCTACAGACACATACTGGGTGAGTCTCTACAGACATACTGGGTGAGTCTCTACAGAAAAGTGCTGGGTGAGTCTCTACAAACACATTCTGGGTGAGTCTCTACAGACACATACTGGGTGAGTCTCTACAGACACATACTGGGTGAGTCTCTACAAACACATACTGGGTGAGTCTCTACTGACACATACTGGGTGAGTCTCTACAGACACATACTGGGTGAGTCTCTACAGACACATACTGGGTGAGTCTCTACAGACATACTGGGTGAGTCTCTACAGACACGTACTGGGTGAGTCTCTACAAACACATTCTGGGTGAGTCTCTACAGACATACTGGGTGAGTCTCTACAGACACGTACTGGGTGAGTCTCTACAAACACATTCTGGGTGAGTCTCTACAGACACATACTGGGTGAGTCTCTACAGACACATACTGGGTGAGTCTCTACAGACATACTGGGTGAGTCTCTACAGACACATACTGGGTCAGTCTCTACAGACACATACTGGGTCAGTCTCTACAGACACATACTGGGTGATTCTCTACAGACACATACTGGGTGAGTCTCTACAGACACATACTGGGTCAGTCTTTACAGAAACATACTGGGTCAGTCTCCTTCTACAAACACATACTGGATGAGTTTTATCATGTAAAATTATTCGAATCTGTTGATTACAGAAGTAGAAACGAGTTCTGAAAGGGGCAATTTTTCTATGCTTTTGCATAATGACAAAGAGTTGTGTTAGTTTTTTACTTCTTTAAAATGCATGTTCAGGATGGCAAGTGTATTCCTGGCTCGGAATCATCTGCAAGAATGTCATACTGATGTAATTTCTACAGTCACAGACAATCAGATCTTCCTGACATGTCCTTCTGTCTGCAGGTATACCAGTCAATTACACTGATGTTGCCTCAATAGATCCAGAGTATGCCAAAAACTTACAGGTGAGTTGTTAATCTCAAAATTGTTTACCTCACTTGTTTGCCCTAAAACCATTCAAATTACACACCAAAGTTTTGGTATCCCTTTAACAAATTCACATTGCCTAAACCAAACTTTAGCAATTTTATATAATGCGTTCCTGCATCCATGTGTCAGTTGTATGAATCCTTTATTATATACTACTCAAAAGAAGTGAAGGACCACCCAATTCTTTCATATGATTATTGTTAATCTGTCATGACATAAGAAGAGTTACATATCCATATTTAGAGTTAATAATTTGAATCTTAGATAGCTTAGCTCCAAATTCAAACCACACAACTTATGCTACATTGTACACATTTTAATTCAATGACCATAGCAGCTGAATTCAATCCACAGCTCCAGATTATATTGGAGCAATTTAGTATGTACGCACGTTATCATTCACATTGGGTAGGTTTCTTTTGATATTCAGTATAGTTTCACTCCCATGGGTCCTATCTATTGGGTAGTTTTACACCAATGAGTTGATGTTTTTATCTAATTATTCTGCAAGAAATGTTGTTTCGGGTGACTTCTTATTTGTATCTATTTGTTTGCTGCCCAAAGTGTGTAACATTTCAAATAAATTCAGAATAGCAATAGATATGTCCAATCAAGAAATAAACGTCTCTTGGTTGTTGTTTATCTTACAATATAATACTGCTTTGCCCCTCAAGGTTTATTCTCCCTGCAGTGTTTTATTGTAGGATAAACAACCTCATGGTTTATTCTCCCTGCAGTGTTTTATTGTACGATAAACAATCTCATGGTTTATTCTCCCTGCAGTGTTTTATTGTGCAATAAACAACCTCATGGTTTATTCTCCCTGCAGTGTTTTATTGTAGGATAAACAACCTCATGGTTTATTCTCCCTGCAGTGTTTTATTGTATGATAAACAACCTCATGGTTTATTCTCTCTGCAGTGTTTTATTGAACGATAAACAACCTCATGGTTTATTCTCCCTGCAGTGTTTTATTGTACGATGAACAACCTCATGGTTTATTCTCCCTGCAGTGTTTTATTGTACGATGAACAACCTCATGGTTTATTCTCCCTGCAGTGTTTTATTGTACGATGAACAACCTCATGGTTTATTCTCCCTGCAGTGTTTTCTTGTACAATAAAAAACCTCATGGTTTATTCTCCCTGCAGTGTTTTATTGTACGATAAACAACCTCATGGTTTATTCTCCCTGCAGTGTTTTATTGTACGATGAACAACCTCATGGTTTATTCTCCCTGCAGTGTTTTATTGTACGATAAACAACCTCATGGTTTATTCTCCCTGCAGTGTTTTATTGTGCAATAAACAACCTCAGGGTTTATTCTCCCTGCAGTGTTTTATTGTACGTTAAACAACCTCATGGTTTATTCTCCCTGCAGTGTTTTATTGTACGATAAACAACCTCATGGTTTATTCTCCCTGCAGTGTTTTATTGTACGATGAACAACCTCATGGTTTATTCTCCCTGCAGTGTTTTATTGTACGATAAACAACCTCATGGTTTATTCTCCTTGCAGTGTTTTATTGTACAATAAACAACCTAATGGTTTATTCTCCCTGCAGTGTTGTATTGTATGATAAACAACCTCATGGTTTATTCTCCCTGCAGTGTTTTATTAACTATGGACAAAGAGTTGTTTATTTCTTTTGTGAGATATAAACATTATGTACAGCCTCTTTAAGGATGTTGATGAAATGTACAAGCTTTAAAAATATTTTCCCAGATTTTAATAATGATGACTCCCTGAATAGAATCCGATCTCAGTAATGTCGGATAAGTCTATTTTAGGAACAGGTGGAGTAAGTTTTGTATTTCAAGCATATTCTCACAATCCTCACATCGATTATCTGTTACCTTTTGCTCCTTATACCATGTATACCGATGGTCAATTCTCTCCTACTTTTGGATGCAATTGTTCGGCCACTGCCTTTATCTGCAAAGCCCGGCTACATATATGGGGAACAACTTACTAGATATTTCCCTCTAAAAAAATAACGTTGTCCAATATATGACATCATCAAGTTGTGAGATCATATTCGTATCACCAGAAGTGACAATAAGATAGAACATGCTTCAGGTTACACAGGTTGAAAAGGATGATAATTAATCTCAATGTTGTTATGCTGTTGGCGTTTTTACTTTTTTCATATTTATTTGTCCAAAAGCAACTCAACTTGATTGGGTAATAGTGATTTAATTCGCATATTTTACACAAATAAGCAGCTTATCTGGAACCCTGTCAATCTTTGGACATGTCCTATCTTTTTCATGGTTCTTTTTCCAACCACAGTATATATTTGTCCCAAATTATATTCCAGTGGAATTCGGTAACCATGACAATGAACTTGATAAATTAGGCATGTACTACATTTACAGTGGATCCTGGATCATGACATCAGTCAGCTTGGCCTTGACCTTACATTCTCCGTGGAAACGGATGTGTTCGGGGTGCTCCAAGAAGTAGACCTGAAACCAGGGGGCAGCAGAATACTTGTCACAGACGCCAACAAGGTCAGGGTCACATCAACCTGACGCGTGAAGATCCAGGGTAGAGGGGTCTTCAGCAGCCCATGCTTGTTTGTAAGAGGCGACTAACGGGATTGGGTGGTCGGTGTTCAATTGAGTGGATCGATGCTCATGGTGTCAATCACTGGATTGTCTGGTCCTGACTCGATGATTTACAGACCGCTGTCAAATAGCGCAAATATTGCTGAGTGCGGTGTTTAACAACAAACAACAAGCAACAAATTATACCAGCACAACCTTTGTCTGCACCTTGTTGCTTGTTGCAACATACTTATGCTGATGGGTTTACCCGGGGTGGTCGGGTAGCTTAGCGGTTTAAGCGTTCGCTCATCACACCGAAGACCCGGGTTCAATTCCCGACATGGGTACAATGTGTGAAGCCCATTTCTGGAGTCCCCTGCCGTGATATTGCTGGAATATTACTAAAAGCGGCATAAAACCAAACTCACTCACTCACTGATGAGTTTCCCCAAAGTTAGATACATTATGGAGCTTTTCTTCCATATCTCACTTTGTACAGGAATTTGATGACAATGTAAGCAGCTCTTTTGCCTTATCCTTCTCTAGTTGTATGGCATCAAGATGTAATTCTAGTCATGTATGATCAGATGTGGTCCATATTTGATTATCTCAATAACAAACGGATTTGGTAATGATCTCCATGAACCTCCTTTGCTCTAGGCTGAGTATGTCCAGCTAGTGACCGAGCTACGCATGACACGAGCCATCATGCCCCAGATCAACAGCTTCCTGTCTGGTTTCCATGACTACATTCCTCATAGTCTTGTACAACTCTTTGATGAGTATGAACTGGTAGGTGCTGATTTTACGTAGTACTGTTTATGACTTCACTAAATATCTGTTGGGTTGTGTGGTAGCCAAGTGGTTAAAGGGGAAGTGTACACGCAAAAATCACTTTCTTTCTTTTTCTAAACAAAACGCAATTTTAGAATTAGTTAGTATCTGTGTTTGAAAATATACACTCATTTTTTCTCACAGTGAAAGTAGGAAGCTCACAATAGTGTTAAAATGATATGCCGTTATGAGGCCTTCGTTTTACGAGCAAAATAGGCCTGAGTTATCCCCCTTAGATTATGACGTAATTGGTGCTAATTCAACTGGGTCCCTGTCTATTCTCAACGCAAAAGATATCAAGGACCAGTTTTTATGTAAAACAACATGGTCTACGACACACTCCGGCGCAGTGGTGACTCAGTATAACACAATTCTGGCTGGCATCTGAGACGCTAAAATCACAAAACTGTACCTACACCACGTGAAGCGGCTCTAACAAAGCATGATGACGTCATAATGTTTATCAATTGGCACCAATGATGTCATATTGCAAGGGGCATAAGCCATGGTGTTTTTGTTATGGAAATAGAACACTTAGTAAATGTGAAAAATATAAATCGTTTTAATGCAAAGAATATGTTAATTAAATATGATGTTTTTATATTTTTGTCTATGACACTTCTATGTTAACACTTTTAATGTGGAAAAAGTACAAGAAAAATTGGTTCATTTCCGTGTGAACTTGCCCTTTAAGGCATATGGTTATCCTGGGTTCAATTCCCCACATGGGTACAACGTGTTTAAAGTCTTTTCATTGTGTCCCCGGCCTTGATATTGCTTGAATATTGCTACCTTTGCCCCTTACATACTCTCTTGATCTTTGTGAGACTTTTGTTTGAAATAGCATGATTTGGTAGTGGGTTTATGTAGGAAGAGTTTTTTATCAACTGTTTTACTATGCCAAGAGAAATAAAGTACTTGATATGAGAGGTTCCAGTGCTCCTCTGACTGTGTTGTGATAGGGTAAATGTGTGCTGTAGGAATTGATGGTGTCAGGTCTTCCTGACATTGACCTGTATGAACTGTGTTGTGATGGGCTGAATGTGTGTTGCAGGAGCTGATGGTGTCAGGTCTTCCTGACATTGACCTGGATGAACTGTGTTGTGATGGGCTGAATGTGTGTTGTAGGAGCTGATGGTGTCAGGTCTTCCTGACATTGATCTGGGTGAACTGTGTTGTGATGGGCTGAATGTGTGTTGTAGGAATTGATGGTGTCAGGTCTTCCTGACATTGACCTGGATGAACTGTGTTGTGATGGGCTGAATGTGTGTTGTAGGAGCTGATGGTGTCAGGTCTTCCTGACATTGATCTGGATGAACTGTGTTGTGATGGGCTGAATGTGTGTTGCAGGAGCTGATGGTGTCAGGTCTTCCTGACATTGACCTGGCAGACTGGGAGGCTAACACCGGCTACACTGGCTATACTGTAGACACTCCAGTCATACAGGTAACTTATACCATCAAGCTTTTATATGTCTCTGTGGAGATCTGACACACACTCCATAGGTCAAGACCAGACCTGGAGAGGTTCTTGAACAGATCTGATTTAATGAGATTATAACATGAAAAGGAAATTTATACTATCTGCAAAATTGTGAATATCTCGGTCAATATAAAGATTACAGTTATGCTCGTTCGTTTCGGTAATCTTGGTATGTCATTTTGATGCAATTATTTATTGTGAACAGATTTACCCAAATCCCATTGTATCCGACTTGATGTGTAATACAATCTCAATGCCATCGCCCCTCTGCAATTTCATCGAAAATCTGTTTTCCTTTTGCCCAAGGTTATTTATCTAACGTTAAAATACTGGCTTCTGATTTCTGATGAAGAAGCGGGCAATCCTTTTCAATGTAGCCCGCTCATGTACCTCACTGAGAAATAATTGTAACATACCTTTGGTAACTTTTGGTAAGTATTGTTGAGCTGAAATGAACTGATGTTTATCCGAATACATTGGGTAAAGGGAAGTAACTGGGTTTGTTTGCATTGTCTGCTAGGTGTCAAACTGGTTGAATTAAAGTGTTTTCCTCATAACTGCCAAATTATCTATTTAAGAAACTAAAACTCTATCTGTGTGATGTGACTCATCAAATGCAGAGCACTGTTTCTAGCTGTGTGATGTTCTGTTGTCCAGTGGTTCTGGGAGGTGGTAGGCGACTTCACACAGCAGGAAAGGGTCCTCATGCTGCAGTTTGTGACTGGCAGGTCAGTGGCTATACAAGGGACAACTTATCAATACAACATCAACGTCATATGCTCACATCTGTTGTTATTAATTACCATATTTTCTTGAGTATAGTGCGCACCTGAGTATAATGCGCACCCCCCTCCAGTGGATTCAGTTTTTTGGAGAAAAAGAATGTGAACATTAAGCGCAGAAAAAAATTACACCGTACCTCTTCAGCGAATTCCGGTGATGAGAAACTTGGTCAGTACAAATTTGAAATTAGAGATAAAAAAATCACCAGACATGTTGATTTACCGTTTAAATTGAATTTTTGTTCTGCTTCGCATTGTTTTACATCCAGGGATTAAGTTTTACATCCAGGGATTAAGATTACCTTGTGTATTTTGTGTAACAAATCTGGTGTTAGTGGCCCTCATATAAACAAGTATATAATTGTTTATGGCTGTAATTGTAAGAATGTTGGGAATCAGTGTAGTCAACAGGGAATTATTAAACTACCAGCATGGCTGATTCAATTTGTGGTCTTTATGTCCAGTTCCCGAGTGCCATATGGTGGGTTCGCTAACCTCAGCAGCAGTGGAAGTCACCAGCAGTTCACCATCAGCCACGTCCCTTACACTGCTGGTAAACTCCCCACAGCATCAACATGGTGAGTATGTCACATACCTTTATGGAAGTCACCAACAGTTCACCATCAGCCACGTACCTTACACTGCTGGTAAACTCCCCACAGCATCAACATGGTGAGTATGTCACATACCTTTATGGAAGTCACCAACAGTTCACCATCAGCCACGTACCTTACACTGCTGGTAAACTCCCCACAGCATCAACATGGTGAGTATGTCACATACCTTTATGGAAGTCACCAACAGTTCACCATCAGCCACGTACCTTACACTGCTGGTAAACTCCCCACAGCATCAACATGGTGAGTATGTCACATACCTTTATGGAAGTCACCAACAGTTCACCATCAGCCACGTACCTTACACTGCTGGTAAACTCCCCACAGCATCAACATGGTGAGTATGTCACATACCTTTATGGAAGTCACCAACAGTTCACCATCAGCCACGTACCTTACACTGCTGGTAAACTCCCCACAGCATCAACATGGTGAGTATGTCACATACCTTTATGGAAGTCACCAACAGTTCACCATCAGCCACGTACCTTACACTGCTGGTAAACTCCCCACAGCATCAACATGGTGAGTATGTCACATACCTTTATGGAAGTCACCAACAGTTCACCATCAGCCACGTACCTTACACTGCTGGTAAACTCCCCACAGCATCAACATGGTGAGTATGTCACATACCTTTATGGAAGTCACCAACAGTTCACCATCAGCCACGTACCTTACACTGCTGGTAAACTCCCCACAGCATCAACATGGTGAGTATGTCACATACCTTTATGGAAGTCACCAACAGTTCACCATCAGCCAAGTACCTTACACTGCTGGTAAACTCCCCACAGCATCAACATGGTGAGTATGTCACATACCTTTATGGAAGTCACCAACAGTTCACCATCAACCACGTACCCTACACTGCTGGTAAACTCCCCACAGCATCAACATGGTGAGTATGTCACATACCTTTATGGAAGTCACCAGCAGTTCACCATCAACCACGTACCTCACACTGCTGGTAAACTCCCCAATGAGAGTCACATGATCTCAGCTCAATCGAATAGCTGTTTTCTATCAAGTTTGAATTTGTTTAACTCTTTTACAATGTCATATTAGAACATGTCGGTTGGATAAATTGGTTGTAGCAGAACCACGAGGGGTACATTTGGTTGAATGCGTCCCGCGTTAGCATACGTGGGACGCATACTACTAAATGTACCCCTCGTGATCCTGCTACAACTTATGATGTTTGCTTTAAACAAAAGAAACTATTGAGACTGGATGTGGGGTATAAGCCATCCAAGGAGAGTTGTTTGATATGGTTTCCAAAACATTCATACATTCTCACATGGGTGCAAAGATGACCTGTGTCCAATATTATGCATTCTTGGTGCTGAAAATATATTTTCCATTCATTTCCTCTTCCAGTATCAACCTCCTGAAACTTGCTGAATATCCTACAAAAGAAGAACTGAAACGCTGCTTGATGATAGCTCTTCAGTGTGGAAGTCAAGGATATGGACTTGTCTGATGATAGCTCTTCAGTGTGGAAGTCAAGGATATGGACTTGTCTGATGATAGCTCTTCAGTGTGGAAGTCAAGGATATGGACTTGTCTGATGATAGCTCTTCACTGTGGAAGTCGACATTCTCGTTAAAATCTGGTCTTGGTCCTTACTTACTTACTTATATTAGGGATTTAATGTGCGCTTTCCGACTGAAAGCGTATGTCGCACACAGGGTCTTGGTCCTCGCTACTGCAACACATATATCTGATTACATCCCATTACAGATTACATCAGAACGACCTTTCATCCAACCAATCATGGCGGCACTTACGAGATTGCGAAAGTTAAAATCCAATTCTGTTTTCTAATCATGCAGCCTCCGAAAGGTTAACAAGAGACATTCCAAATGACAGTTACACATCTCATTCCATTAAAGTCATCATCTGTCTCTCACTTCAATGGCATAAACATTTGAAACGGAAGATACTTTCATTAGTCCATTGGAATTACAGCCATACAATGTTGGCCATCAGACATTCCAGAATTTTGTTTTGTTCAGTTTCCAAATTTGAATCAACAACTTGTCAAAGTATTGTTCACAGCATAGTATGGAATGGAAGTCACCAGTTTGGAAATAGTGACTTCCATTCCAGCCAGCAGTTTGATTGGCTAGTCATTTAATTTGTCGATAAAAGGTTGTTCCGACGTGAACTGCATTGGATGTCCTCAGACCTTTGTGTAGTGGTAGCCCATATGAAGATTTGATTTTAATGAGATTGGGACGTCAAGGATATGGCCTTGTTTGATGACAACTTTTCAGTGTGGAAGTCAAGGATATGGCCTTGTTTGATGACAACTCTTCAGTGTGGAAGTCAAGGATATGGCCTTGTTTGATGACAACTCTTCAGTGTGGAAGTCAAGGATATGGCCTTGTTTGATGACAACTCTTCAGTGTGGAAGTCAAGGATAGGGCCTTGTTTGATGAACACTCTTCAGTGTGGTAGTCAAGGATAGGGCCTTGTTTGATGACAACTCTTCAGTGTGGAAGTCAAGGATATGGCCTTGTTTGATGACAACTCTTCAGTGTGGAAGTCAAGGATATGGCCTTGTTTTATGACAACTCTTCAGTGTGGAAGTCAAGGATATGGCCTTGTTTGATGACAACACTTCAGTGTGGTAGTCAAGGATAGGGCCTTGTTTGATGACAACTCTTCAGTGTGGAAGTCAAGGATATGGCCTTGTTTGATGACAGCTTTTCAGTGTGGTAATCAAGAATATGGACTGATGATCTCATAATGCAATCAACATGCCATAATTTCTCCTTCAGAGGCCAGGTATTCATCTGAAGTTGACCATGGGAATTGAGGAACTGTATGTGGCTTCAGTGCAAAATCTACTGACTGGCCATAAGATAGATTCCATGACATTACAAATTTATTTTGGTACACCTTTATAATCAACTCGAAAAATAATCAAGAGCTAGGCCTAAGCCAAGGATATGTAAAGAGCAAGTGCAGAAATAGAACAGCCTTGACCTCTATTGGAGTATTTTGGTAGATCAATACATATCGCTTTTGCCTTTCCAGACCACTATACACTGTGCTAGGGCTGGGACAGGTAACTCAGGTTCTTGGGTGGGACCCGGGTACCCAGAGGACCCGTGGTTAGTCATGTGATATGTTGTTTAATGACAATAAACACTCAAAATCAAGTGTTACACTACAAGTCCCTAGATGTTCACATTTCTTTCTAACTATGCACTCATTCCTTCTGACTTATATATATATATTTGAGTAAAGATGAAGTTTCAGTCAACTTCAGTGAATGAATGACCAGATCATTTTATGCATGAATCTAAGTAGTTTTTGCCAGGGCTCTGGTAAAACAATTCCCATTTTGTGACTCTTCAGACCTACAGCGGGTTTCCGGGTAGGGTCGGCTAATTGGGGCCTGGGTACCCGGGTAGCAAATGTGGACTCCTCCCAGTCCTACGCTTTGTTGCCTTTGACACTCCAAGGTCAGGAATCCCTGTGCTGCATTGCTTGTGTGTTCTCTTTGCAATGTTTGCTATGTATTTATAGCCTGCCTATAACTTGAGTATTATGAAGAAACTGACACCTTTAGTTCATGTCTTTTTATCAAATGTACTGTATTCGACGTAAGAAGCGCCCACGGACATATTTGCAATGTATTAATAGCCTGCCCACGGCGATATTTGCTAATATATTGGCTGGTGAACAATCCCCAATTAGCACCCCTTCCCACTGATCAATGTACACAAGACTTATTTATTCGTGTATAATACGCACTCATGTGTTATATGCACCCTTAATTATGGACAATTAAATTCTTGAAAATATATATGTCATGTATAATACGCACCAACTTTTCTTTTGTATCATTTAAGGTTGTCAGCATTAACCACAAAATTTACAATTTACAATTTTCAACTCTGTTTTTTTTCTCACCAAAATTATATTCTAATAAGAGCCCCCTATTTCTAATTTTGAGAGCGCCCTTGGCGCTTGTTATGTCGAATATGGTATGCATATTTCCTGATGTCAGGTCTGGCTATGCTGGATGTCTGTTCAAAAGTCTGGATAATAATGAACTGGTTTCTCTGGTTCAAGATGAACTTGAAACCAAATGTATGTATGTCTTCACCTACACCTAAGAAAATCAGCTTGGGCTAAAGACTTGTTCTTGTACAGTGGGATATTATACCTCTAAAATCAGCCTTTTTAGCACATTTTATCTTATATCTTATCAAGTGAAAAATTGTCAGATCTTCTCTGACAAATGAACATACAATCCCCAGCAAACTGGGGTCCTGGCAAGGTCTTACCACTATTTTAACCCATATGTGTCGAATTCCCTGTTGTGATCGAGTTCAGTATAATCCCAAGGGTTTTTTAATAATAACTTATCAGTAGCCCTGGTAAGTCAAACTAAAAAAATGGACAAGTAAAACTATTTATCTGGGCCCCATTCCTCAAAGTGATCTTAGCACCAAGGTGATCTCATCTCCCATACTTTAACATAGGCAAACAATCATGGTAGCGTTAGGATTGTGGAACACAGCCCTGGTCCCAAGGAGTTCAAGACATCGGGGTGCGACTTTAGCAGATTACTTTCATAACAACTTCTAAAACTTTACTCTTTCTAATATCATGCAAATCTTTTAGACCAAAAAGTACTCTTTGTTTTACCTCATCCTTAAAAAAACAAAACCTCTTATTTGTTATTAAAATATCAATTCCTCATAAACAGAAGTTTTTTTCAATAATATCTTGAAGAATGATTGGTTTTTAACATTAATTTGGGTTTTTAGTTGTATCTTATCACACTCATCTTGGTCTACATTTTAGGAGCCACAGGTAGCCCAATTGTCTAAAGCGCCGCAATTTGCTGTGCAGAGTTGCATCCCTTGTGCACAAAACCTACGACTGGAGTTTGAATCCCGGTTCGCCCCAATTATGTTTCAAGGTTTGTCAGCACCATACCCTTGCTCGTGGGTTTCACCAAAATGGTAAATGTCCAACATTAAGCTAACACGACGTGATATAACTGGAATATTGTTTCAGCAGCGTTAAACCCAACTCACTCTATATATATCATTTCATGTTTTGACCTCACCCAAGTCATTTAGAAATGGGTTGGGCTTAAAGTCTGGAAAATTCCAAAATTGTATATAGTTCCTGGCACTCCAGAACTCTTAGCATATGGTAACCATGTTGATGAGAAATTACACCCTTTATTTCTGTGATATGTTTATGTTTTTGACTTTAAAAATATGAATCTTTTTAACGCTTTACATTCAGAATATTTATATCTTTGTTACATTGTTGTTCGACATTTCATTTTAATCAAAATAACGACATAATAGTACTTAGCGTTCATGTGTTTTGTAAATTGTGTTTGCATCATTTTAAGTTCTGTTCTAAGTTTTTACTGAACAAAAGATCCATGTTTTCTGGTGCAGGCATGTGTGGTTTGTCAAGTTTTTATACCCACTCCCGGTCTCATTGCTATGTTTTGTTTTGTTTTAACTTCAGGTGTATCGGCTGATAAACCTCTCCTTTTCATGTACATGTTTAAGAATGGAATACACTGACACATTTTTCATGTTGCCAATTTACAAGAATGAGCTCTTGCAGTTCCAGACTTGATTTAGTATATGTCAATGGTATGAGTTTATTTTCCCACAGTGATTCAAACTTAAACCTTATTGTGAAGCCAGACATTTCTGCTCAGTCACCATAGTTGAGTGGAAGAGGAGGTACTGGGAAATTGTTGAGGTTTGAAAGAATGTATATTTATGAATATTTCATGTCTGTTTCAGTGGGATCAGTAGTCTGTCTTACAGACCCTGATACAAATATATATCAAATACAGCCCATGCAAGTCTATAATGTTTGGCAATTCTAGATCACTGCAGTATCAGGGTCTCCTAAAATGAAGAGAGTCACTGGGCTCCTTTTTATTATATTTTTATTAAGATAACTGAACAACTGTTTTTTTATGTACGATATGTTCATTTCAGAGACTAGATGTTAGTCTATGGGATCAGTTGTGTTTCCACATGAATCTGAAGCTCTGATTACACAAGGAAATTGTATGCCTTTTTCACTATGAAAGACACCCCTCAATACATGTGTATTTCTAAACAGTGTTCAGAATAGCTGCCTGCCCGCCAGCCAAGTGCCAGTGAATTTTATATTGGGCTGGTCACATTTCTGTAAATCTGGCCTGACTGTTCAGTTGAAAATTATTGTCAATACCTACCTATAAGGAAGAGAATATACGGATGTCAGCTTCTTTATTATGAGGAACACAACGTTTCAGAGTATACGCTTAGTCCTTCATCAGGTGAGTGAATGCCATGAGGCAGAGAGCATATATGTACATGTAAGGACATAAAAATTAATAAGATAACAAAAGATGGAAACTGACAAAGCGTGGAAACTAACAAGGGAAGCCAACAGATCAGTTCAAAGAACTAACACCTACCTTTTTCTACGAATCATCAAGTCAGTTAAGCTGTCATTTAATGTCAAAGTGAGTTGCCATATTGTTTTCAGTTCAAAGTTTATCGGAAACCCACACAAAGTAGCAAACTGGGCATTAACTGATTATGACTGACACACATGTACATGCGTTATTAGTGATGTGTGTGAAAGTATAACAAAACGTATTTTACCAAGCAGCCATGCAACTTTGCCGTAGTGTAGCAAATTGGTCTAAAAACACACAAAATACATTTAGGTTAACACGAAGTATGTAGGCTGTAGCCATAAAGTAGGGTTAGTGAATATGATGAGGGCTTGTAGCATATGTCTTTAACAAGCCCTCCTGGCCAGTGAACTTTGAAATCTAATTCATACACTGCAGACACAATTTATGGATAACAACTTCTTTAATACTGTGAAAAGCGACGTTTCGGTATAGATCCTTATACCGTTGTCAAGCAAGACTGAATGAGGGACATAGTACAGAATATATAGAGTAGGTGGAGGATTAACAGTAACAGCAATTGCATACATGAGTGGGATCACAGAGTAGGTAATGACAACAGAAGGAAAATACTGTCACATGATGGACAGAGAACACATGGAAGCCAATGGGACATGATAAGTTTACATGGGTGGGGTGATTATTGCTTAATGCGTTCATTGTAGGTGGATTGGATGAAATAGCTGTGATCTCTCTTGATTGATGGCTTGTGGCGTGAATTCGACACTGTTTATATATAGGGAATGGTGTTCGATGAGATAAAGGGTATACAATTTCACTGCTTTAATCAGATTAAAGATCAGATACAGATTTCTGTGGTTACATAAACATCACGTTAATGGAAAAAGTAAATACATGTTTAGTCACCTTGGTGGCACATGAGTTGGGTCATTTTGTAAAACTGTCATTGTCATTCATAATTTTAATACTTGCATTATTCTGGTGGACATTATTTCCAAGACATAGTTCTGGAATACCCTTTTGTATTATGAGTTGTTTACTATTATGCAATGTATTCTCTAAGCATGCATTGTGTATATAAATATTTATGAAATTATCACAGATGTGATTATTTACAAAAATTGTACATGTTATAAGTATGGCTATTAATAATATTTTGTTTGGTGTGTGTGTAGTGCCAATCAGGAAACCAATGTGCCAAGCTTGTACTTTCTTCACTTAAGATAGAAATTGTGTATTTTGTACCCAAGTTTATTATTATTACCTCAAACAGTAAGATCAGCAGTTGGGGTTTTCAACTTGATGAATGTGTCATGATGGTGATGACTGGATTGATGTGAATCAGAATCCTCAACTATTCAGCGTGTTATGTTTCTAGTCTAGCTTACTCAATCCTAATACTCTGGACCCATTCACTTTCATAGGACCCGTGAAGATCCGGGGTAGAATAGGCCTTCAGCAACCCCTTTTTTGCCATGAGAGGCGACCAACGGGATCGGGTGGTCAGGCTCGCTTGTCTTGGTTGATGCATTCCATCGTATCCCAATTGTGTGGGTTGATGCTCATGATGCTCAATCACTGATCGTCTGGTCCAGATTTGATTGTTTACAGACTGTCGCCATATAGTTGGAATATTGCCGACTGCGGCGTTAAACAAAAAAAACCAAAAAAAAATCATTATCATAGTTGTGGTTTGTTTTTTATTTAATGCTGCACTTGGCAATATTCCAGCTGTATGACAGC